AGCAATCCTACCTCAGCCTCCTGAATAGCTGTGACTACAGGCCTGTGCCATCTTGCCTAGCTATTTTTTGTAGAGACAGGGTCTCAATTTGTTTCTCAGTCTGTTCTCAAAATATTTTCAATGACCAGAACAACACTATTAAGTCATATTAAATTCTTCTGTATGTTAGGCTCAGAAGATTTTTAAATTTAATAGAATATTTAAGTAGGCAGGTATTTTCTTTACCTTTTTCCCATATTAGCCTTAGAACTGTTGTTTGGTGACAGTGTTACATTATTAAAATAGGTTGTGATTTTTGAAGGTGAAAGCAACCTTCCATTTAAGCAACCTTCCTTTTTACATAGGAAAGAGTCTACAAATAATAAATGTGCATGAACACCTAAGAAATAGAACCATACCAGGTTGGATCAGTGGCTGGACTCTAGATTGTGGGAGAATATGCTATTGTCATATTCTCTGTAACTGACCTCAGAGATTAAGATGTGTAGTGAAATGAACATAATGAATAGGTCTGAATATCTTGGTTTGGGTCTTCTCCCCTTTTCACTCGCCCCTACCCATTTACTAACTTGGTGAAATGAGGCAAGATACATAATTTCTTTTTGCCTTGTTTTCCTTCAACCTAAAATTGGAGTAACAAAAACAGCCTCTTTACTGCTTTGTGGTGAAGGTAAAATCAAAAGTATATGAAAGTTTTTTGTAAACTGTAAAACATCATCCTGTAGAAATGTTAGTTGTTGCTAGGCTTGATTTTTTTTTTTTTAAATATTAGAAAGGGTAGTTTATTTAAAAGTAGATTAAAGAGAGAAAGGGAAAGGGCAAATCCACTTTTCAAGGGGAAGAATCGGGCCAAGCGTCTGAAGAAAATTTGGCCTGGGCTTGATTCTTAACCTAGCTAGGTCATCCAAAATGGTTATTCCATATATAAATCTGTTTAAATTTTTTTCCAACAGACTCCTGCTCTACCCACTTCAGAAAAAAATTTAAACCACCTCCTGGATAAATAGTACTTATTCTTTCATATCATGTTATTGATTAAAGTACACATGGACACCCAAAGACTCTTTTTGAGTATAAAACTGGTTGTCAAATAGGCATGGCTCCTTCAAGTACTCACGGGTCTGAACCAAAGGGATACACTGGTGTCATTTTTAAAATGATGTTAAATAATTCAGTATTTTCTTCCAGGTGGTAGATGCGAGGGCTGGTCCCAGTCTAAAGACTACATTGAAACCAAAGAAAGTAAAAACTCTATCTGGGAACAGGATAAAAAGCAACCAGATCAGTAAACTGCAGAAGGAATTTAAACGTCACAGTAAGTTTGGTATTGTAACATTAGTAGTTAGGAATAATTGTTTTGTTTTCGGCTGGGGGTGGTATATCGTATGTGTGGGTCATTTTTTCCTTTATTGCTTTTCAAAAAAGAGCACTCGCTAGAAGGCAGTGTTGGCTTGGTAGAGATGTTATCTTCTTTCTACGAAATCCTGCAATTTTTTTTTTTTTAGTTGGAGTCTCACTCTGTCAGCCAGGCTGGAGTGCAGTGGCATGTTCATGACCACCTCAGTGTTAATCTGCTGGGCTCTGGCAATCCTTCCACCTCAGCCTTCCAAGTAGCCTGAACTACAGGCACACGCTACAACACCCAGCTAATTTATTTGTTTGTTTGTTTGTTTATTATAGAGATGAGGTCTCACCAAGTTCCCCGGACTGGTCTTGAACCTGCGGGCTCAGGCAGTCCTTTTATCTCAGCCTTCCAAAGTGCTGGGATTACAGGCTGAACCACCGAGTCCAGCCAAGAAGTTTTTTTTTTAAAAAGAGTACTTTCACTAGATAGCCACTTCAAGTTGTACTGAAACCACTCTGGTGTCTTTTTTTGACAACTTAATTTTCTAGAAGGTGCATTTCTAAGCTTGAGTTTTATGCATAAGGAAATTGAGTCCTGGAGATGTATGGGAAGGTATATAAATAATTAGTGGATAGTTTAAGACCAAAGCCCAGGTTTTCTGGAAAGTAATTTCAAAAATCATAACTCACATTGGAAAGCCAGCCTCAGGACCTTCAGGTTTAAAGGGCAGTGTGTGTTGTTGGGGGGTGGTAGAATGGAAGAGAAATATCAAGTCACACAATTTTTTTTTTTTTTTGAGTAGGAGTTTCACTTTGTTGCCCAGGCTGGAGTACAGTGGCATGCTCATGGCCATCACAACCTTGACTAACTGGGCTCAGGCGATCCTTCCGCCTCAGCCTTTCAAGTAGCTCAAACCACAGGTGTGCACTACCATGCCCGGCTAATTTTTTTGATTTATTGTAGAGATGAGGTCTTGCCAAGTTGCCCAGGCTGGTCTTGAACCCCTGGGCTCAGGCAATTTTCTCGCCTCTGTCTGCCAAGGTAGATCACAAACTCTTTTTTTTTTTTTTTTATTAACAGAGTTTATTTTTATTTATTTTTTCTTTTTTATAATCAATATATATATTTATTTTTTGAGTTGGAGTCTCACTCTGTCGCCCATACTGGAGTGCAGTGGCTGCTCCCGGCCACCACAGCCTCGACCCGCTGGGCTCCAGTGATCCTTCCGCCTCAGCCTTCCGAGTAGCCGGAATTACAGGCATGCATTACCACGCCTGGCTGATTTTTTGATTTATTGTAGAGACGAGGTCTCGCCAAGTTGCCCAGGTGAGTCTCGAACCTGCGGGCTCAGGCAATCCACTCACCTCAGCCTCCCAAGGCGCGGTATTACAGGCTGAGCCACCGAGCCCGGCTATAATCAATATTTTTTATTATGATATTGTGGGGTACACTTAAGGGTTAGGTATACAAATATGCTTCGTTCAGGCCCCCTTGTTAATAAGCGGTGTCTTCCCATCCCCAGACAGATATTTACTACCGTTAATCCCATCTCCCTTCCTCCCCCATAGTTTCCCACCACTGTCAGTCATTTTCTTATAGTATTACGTTGGATGTTCAAGGTCCACTATATGAGTGAGAACATTTGATACTCAGATCTTTGTTTCTGTGAGAGGGCACTCAGTTCCATCCAGGTTGCTGCGAAATTCATGATTTTGTTCTTTTTTGTGGCTGCGTAATATTCCATTGTGTATATGTACCACGTTTTTTACATCCAGTCCTCTTTTTTTTTTTGAGTTGGAGTTTCACTCTGTTGCCCAGACCTGCTGGACTCCAGCGATCCTTCCGCCTCAGCCTTCCAAGTAGCCGGAATTATATGCATGCACTACCATGCCCGGCCGTTTTTTTGATTTATTGTAGAGATGAGGTCTCGCTGCCCAGTTGGGTCTCGAACCCGTGGGCTCAGGCAGTCCACTCACCTCAGCCTCCCAAAGGCGCGAGATTACAGGCTGAGCCACTGAGCCCGGCTCAGTCCTCTTTTAATGATCTGATCACACTCTTATTGGATGTTGTTGGGAGGTGCTATGGAGTCATTTGACATTTAGCCACAATTTCCTAATCTTAGAAATGGGAATAATCAAGTAAGAAAGGGTTTTATAAAGCAGAATAAATTCCTACATAAATACTAATCATTTTATGTCATCTTTCTTTCCAAAATTTACAGTGATTTTTGTTTGCTATAAAATAAAATTGGAGACCCCTACAAAGCCTTAGGAGGTCCTATTTTTATGTGAGATTAAGTCAGTTCTCCCCAGTGTGTAGTGTGTTCTATTTCTATGACTTTGCTCATAGTTCATTGTCCCTGCTGACTTGAGGCTGCTATTTCATCAGTCCCTTGTGCCTTTCCAGATCCAACCTAATTTTTAAGACTTTCAGAATTTCAGTTCTTTGAGGAATTTCTAGATCTACGTTCTAGAAAAAGAGTTCTTCTTTATTGTGTTTGTATGTAGTTAGTTGTGTACATCTCAGTATCCTAGGCATTAGGTTAAACCATATGAAATCACCATTTTTATAGGAAAGAAATAATCAAATAATTGAAATTTCAAGTAGTTCAAAAATATTAAGCACTAAGATAGTTTTCCTCAGCAGAGTAGAGCTGACTGCTGATGTTAATTATTTAGGAAATCTTTTAAACATCCACTAGATGTATTCCTTTAAAGCCTGCTACTAAAGGATTTTGTTTGTTTACTAAATTAACATATTAAAAACACTGTTCGGGCTTGCTTTGTTTTAGATACTTAATTCTTTGCTGCTTTATGTAAACATTTGTTAATACAAAATAGTTGGGAGCTTTATTCAAAACAATTTTTAATCTTACTTCTTCTCATACAATCATATAACACAGGATTTGATGCTTCATAAATACATCATAAATATTTAATTTTTTCTCTGAATTGGAGGATTGCTCCATCCGCCTGTCCTGGAAGGGAGGGGTAAAATGTGTGGGAGGCTCTGCTGCTGTTTACGATGTTGCTCTTGGTGCAGCACTGTTGCCTTGTAACACAGGGACTCTTAACTAGAGGACTATTGGCTGGCTCGTATGTTTGTTTATTTTTTATTTTTTTGAGTTGGAATCTCTCATTTAGGCTGGAGTGCAGTGGCGCACTCCCGGCCACCGTAGCCCCGACCTGCTGGATTCTGGCGATTAGGCACGCACTGCCATGCCCAGCTAATTTTTTGATTTATTGTAGAGATAGGTCTCGCCAAGTTGCCCAGGCTGATCTGGAATCCATGGGCTCGGGCATTCCTCTCACCTTGGCCTCCCAAAGTGCTGGGATGTTAGGCGTGAACCACCACGCCCAGCCGGCTTGTACGTTTATATGAAGTTTTCTTAAGAGCAAAAATGCCAGGTTTAGCTCTACATCTGGTGAGTTCCCTTTATATCTTTTAATTAAATCAGGATCTATTGTTTTCCCAGTTAGAGGTATGGTGTCATTTTCTTTGGCTACTTTCAAGATTTTTTTTTTGTTGTTGTTCTTTAGTTTTCAGAGATTTAATTATGATGTCTTTTGGCATGGATTTCTTTGGGTTTATCCTGTTAGGGCTTTGCTCAGCTTCTTGAATCTTAGGTTTATGTCTCTTACCAAATTTGACAAGTTTTCAGCCACTGTATTTGAGTACTTTTTCGCCTCTACTCTTTTCCTCCTCTCCCTCAACAACTAGCAGTGGCATGAGTGTGGATTTTTCTTGTTATGGTCTCTGTTCATCTGTTTTTCTTTGTTGTTGACATTGGGTAGTTTCTGTTGTTCTTTTTTCCAGTTCACAGTTTGTTTTCTCTTTCCCCTCTGTTTTGCTGTTGAGCCCATCCATTGAGCTTTTTATTTCTATTTATTTATTTATTTATTTATTTGAGTTGGAGTCTCACTCTGTTGCCCAGGCTGGAGTGCTGTGGCATGCTCACAGTCACCACAGCCGCAACCTGCTGGGCTCAGGTGATACTTCTGCCTCAGCCTTCCAAGTAGCTGGAACCATAGGCATGCACCACCATGCCTGGCTAATTTTTTGATTTATTATAGAGACTAGGTCTCACCGTGTTGCCCAGTCTGATCTCGAACCCCTGAGCTCAGGGAATCCTCTCACCTTGGCCTCCCAAAATGCTGGAATTACAAGCTTGAGCCACCTTGCCTGGGATAAATGTATTTTTTTGAGTTTGAAATTTGCCATTTGTTTTTTCTTTGTACTTTCTTTTCTTCTTTTTTTGGGGTTGAGCTTCTATTTCTCTGTGGAGGCTGTGTTTTCATTTGTTTCAATATGTTCAGCATTCATAGAAGCATTTTTGTCATGGCTGCTTTAAAGTCTTTGTCTAACATCCTCCATCATCGTGGTGTTGGTATTCAGTTTGAGATCTTCCTGGTTCTTGGAATGATGTGGTTTTTTTTTTTTTTTTTTAAATCTGGACATTTTCAGATTATGTTGTGAGACATTGAGTCTTACTTAAACCTTCTAGTTGGGTTTGTTTTTTCTTTTTGAGCTGGAGTCCCACTCCATCGCCCAGGCTGGAGTGCAGTGGCATGATCACAGCAATCCCAGTGTTGAACTGTTGGGCTCTAGCGATTCTTCTGCCTTAGCCATCAAGTAACTGGAACTGCAGGCGTGCTACCACACCTGGGTAATTTTTTGATTTATTGTAGAAATGAGGTCTCACGATGTTGCTCAGGCTGGTCTCGAACCCCTGGGCTCAGGCAATCTTCTCACCTTCATTTCCCAAAGTGCTGGGATTATAGTCTTGAGCCACCATGCCAGGCCTTAAACCTTCTTAGTTTAACTGACTTTTTTTTGGTGTGACTCCTCTCAGAGCAGGGGAAGAGGGAGGTGATGCTTGAATTCTGGTTTCTCACTCACCCTCCATTGACACCTGAGGTGAGGAGGAGTTCCTTGTTCCTGTTGAATTGGGGTAGGGGGCATTCAGGCTTCCACATGGTGAGGCCATTGGCCTCGTTCCTGGTGGGCATAGTGAAAGTCCTGCCTTTCTATTACACTTCCTCTGATGGAGGTGTGAAGCTGGACATCTAGGCTCCTCATGACCTTTGATGGGGGTGGGGAAGGTGGCCAACATCTTTTCTGTGGTATTTGGCTGGAGCAAAGTGCTTATTTTCTACTAAATATTTCTTGTCTTAGGAAGCTGTCCCTTTCCTGGTTCTTTGACTAGAGAGAGCAGGCTTTTAAGAGGTTTTGATTAGGTTTCTTTTTTAAAAAATCTTTTCAATTTTGGGTATCATTGGCATTTCTGGATTGCTGCTGCTTCACCTCCAAGGCTGGGGTTTATGAGGCAAAAACAAAATCCCAAAAAACTGAAGAATTCACCACCATGTCCTTCCATGGGTTTCAACCTCCCTGGATAGTCATCACTTTTCAGAGCCGTAGCTTTGTTTACTATTAAGGACAGGGTTTTTAGAGGTATGAGCAGGAGGAATAGGGAAAAGTATGTTTGCTTTATCTTCCTGAAAGTGGAAGTCCTCATTTTCCTCTAAAAACACTTTAGTACAAATATCTTTAAGTAGTTTTTCCTGCTTTTTCTCCTTTTTCCCAACTCATTCACAATATCCTATGCTAGCTAGGGTGTATTTGCAATTACGTGTAGTGAAATTGAACATTTCTTCTTTATCTTTATTACAGATTCTGATGCTCACAGTACCACCTCAAGTGCCTCCCCAGCTCAGTCTCCTTGCTACAGTAACCAGTCGGATGATGGCTCAGATACAGAGATGGCTTCGGGTTCTAATAGAACACCAGTTTTTTCCTTTTTAGATCTCACGTACTGGAAAAGGTAAAAACAACAGAAAATACTCTCTAGCCAGCATACCATCTTAATTACAGGCAGTGGTTTCCCACTTCCTTAGCAATTAAAATGGCATTTGGCAAACAGCTGGTAGTACACATGATTGGAGTGGATTAGCAGGAATTGAACAGATAATTGGGATTTTGTATGTTCTTTCTGTTAAAGTCTATTTAATATAAAAATCATATCAAGGTACGTAAATTTTTGGGGGTTTTTTTTGAGTTGGAGTCTTACTTTGTCACCCAAACTGGAGTGCAGTGGCACGTTCCCGGCTACTGCAACCTTGACCTGCTGGGCTGCGGTGATCCTTCCACCTTAGCCTTCCAAGTAGCCAGAACTACAGTGCGCACTACCACACCCGCCTAATTTTTTTGATTTACTGTAGAGATGAGGTCTTGCCAAGTTGTCCGGGTGGATCTTGAGCCCGTGGGCTCAGGCAATCTACTCACCTCGGCCTCCCAAAATGCTGGGGTTACAGGCTGAGCCACCAAGCCTGGCCCTAAATTTCTTATAATGGGGTGTACTGACCAAGTCTCCCACTAAAGAAAGTATAAGAATTTTTTTTTTTTGAGTCAGAGTCTCACTCTGTTGCCCATGCTGGAGTGCAGTGGTATGCTCACGGCCACCACAGGCTCAACCTGCTGGACTCAGGCGATCCTTCCGCTTCAGCCTTCCAAATAGCTAGAATCTCAGATACTGTGATTCTGTTGTAGAGATGAGGTCTTGACATATTGCCCCAGCTGGTCTCAAACCCTGGACTCAGGCAATCCTCTCACCTCCATCTCCCAAAGTGCTAGGATTACAGGCGTGAACCAACATACCTGGCTAGAGGTTTATTTATTTATTTTTCTTTTTTTTTTTGAGTTGGAGTCTTACTCTGTCGCCCAGATTGGAGTGCAGTGACCGCTCCTGGCCACCACAGCCTCAACCTGCTGGGCTCCGGTGATCCTTCCGCCTCAGCCTTCTGAGTAGCTGGAATTACAGGCGCACGCTACCATGCCCGGCTAATTTTTTGATTTTATTGTAGAGATGAGGTCTCGTCTGCCCAGGTGGGTCTCGAACCTGCGGGCTCAGGCAGTCCACTCACCTCAGCCTCCCAAAGGCGCAGGATTACAGGCTGAGCCACCGAGCCCGGCTGAAGTTTATTTTTTTAAGTCTTTAACAATGTCACTGAGTACGACTAGGTGAGTTAAAGACTACTAAGATGTCAAATGCTAAATGAATGTGTGGCCCCAAAGTTCAAAAAGAGATAGTAGACTAGGAAAAGGAGAATCTTTTCAAAGAGATAGTGGTTAGAATTTTCTAGGTTACAGATTCAGGAAGACGAATCAATTAAAAAATAAGATAAAAAGTTTCACCATAGACATATCATAGTGAAACTACAGAATATGAAAGATAAACTAGATCTCTAAGCAGTGAGGAAATACACTCTTTCTTTTTCTAAAACAGAAACGGTCTCACTATGTTACCCAGGCTGGCTTTGAACTCCTCGGCTCAAGGGATCCTCTCACCTGAGCCTCCTGTGTAGCTGGAACTCAGGTGTGCACCACTGTGCCCAGCTTAAGAAAATACATTCTTAGCCGGGCTCGGTGGCTCAGCCTGTAATGCCGCGCCTTTGGGAGGCTGAGGTGAATGGGTTGCCTGAGCCCGCAGGTTCGAGACCCACCTGGGCAGCGAGACCTCATCTCTACAATA